CCCGCTTTCCATCACCTCAGAGACTCTCCCGTAGAGAGCTGCTGCCAACTGTAGGCCACCATCCGGTGGGAAAATAAAATTCTGCAAAAGGCACCCAAGCTCTGCTGGCAGGCCCAGCGCCAACGATGTCACCGGGGGCTACTTCTTGAGAATTCCCCACCGCCCAAAGGAAAGCTAACAGGCACAGAACGCTTTCAATCCCATGCTTTCTAACCTCGCCCCATTTCAGCAACACTGATCTCACCCCCCAAAAATCATCAGAGGAGAATTCAATCTATTCCCCGGGAGCGATGAAATCACGGCTTCGGGCTGTTCTGCCGACGTTCTCCAGGGCTGGGGCTTGTTTTGGTGCAACCTGCTGGCCAGGGGTAGCCACGAGCCCGGTGATGACGTGGGTCCCTGTACCGGGCGGCCGGCTGAGAGGACAGCCCCCAGCAGGGAGCCCAGTGCCAGGCAGGGAACTGACCCATCAGCAGGAGCGGTGACAGCTGCCGGACGGCGCGGTGAAACAATGCACCTCTGTCCCGGCCTAAAGAGCCACCGCTGCCGTGAGCAGCCCGGATGCAGCCCCCGCCGGGGCCTCGGTGGGGGCCGTCCATAGCCTCTTCCCTGTGGCACCTTGCGGATTAAAACCCTGGAAGGCTCTGCGGGGAGCGTTAACGTCAAAGGGTGGTCTCGCAAAGGAAATAAGTTATTACAAGGACACAGGTTCCCTTTCCCTTTCCGATGGCCTAGTCCTCGGGTTTCAGGAAGCCTACATGTGCCCAACACCCAACCCCGAACCCCACGCCTCCCTCCCCGTCCGTGAGCAGACAGCCCCTTCCAGACGCTGCCCCGCCTGGACTAGGGCCGGACTTCCCGCCCACCCAGGAAAGCAGCGCGCGGGACCGGCCAGGAAAACACCGCAACGGGACAACCGTAAGGGGCACTAGCCCTGCCAGGCGTCAGCACACACTGCAGACCCTCCGGTCTCAGACAGCGCCGGCTGCCACAGGAACACGCAGCCGCACGGACCCGAGGACAGGAACAGAAAGTCCCAACAGACCCAGATACACGTGCAAACTTAGCAGGGGACAGGGTGGCATCGCAGATCACCGGGCAAAGATGGATCCTCTCTTTAATCAGGATGTGGGAGGAGCCCAGATGGAACACAAACACAAATGAACTTGTATTGCCGATGAATAGCATAACCCCCAAAGGGGCGGAAAAACACAGGTCTCACCTAAGACACTCTGGGAAACACATAAATGCTGTAATCGAGGCAGTAAGTGTTTCTCACAGGGGCACGGGTCAGCAATTCAGAAAGTCCTCTCTTGGATGCTAGCATTGACCAAATAAATAAATATGTTCCAGACAGTAAGTAGCCGATGCCCCCCTTCTAGAGAGGGAACTTGAAAACATGGGAAGGAGAAGATAAAATGAACTCTGGGCTGTTGACCTGGAAGCCAAGGGATCAGTTTAAAATCATGGTTTTGAAGACACAGGCAGAAAGAGAAGAGAAATACAGACGTGTGCATAAGTGTGTTACTGTATACACATATATTTCCTCGCTCTGTCCACTAAAAAAGTCTAGAAGCAATAAGACCCCAGCAGTAACGAGCACCCCTGATGCCCAGATCTTGGTTTCTACGCACTTCTCCAATAGGAAGAATCGGGGCTGCCTGGAGAAGTGGCTGGACCCAGGGCCGGAAGAGGGAAAACACAAGATGAGTCTAGAAAAAAACATCTGCGGAACCATAAAGGAAGGAAGTGCTAAATATACACACACAAATCTATCTAGATGGCAAGACACAAAGGCTACTTCTAAAAGAGCTGCTCGTGGCCAAACGAGGACAGATAGAACAAACAAATGACGACAGGGTTGGATAACACGTAGGATAAAATAAATACCCAGGAGTCCACCCATAAAGTAAATACCCATTTCTCCACCTATATACTCATGTCCATACTCTACTAAATATATAGGTGGAGAAACGGCAGCTCTTTCTTACAGAATTCCAATGACTAAATGTAGGAGAGAGGAAAACAAAAAGTCATCATAGAGCGAACTCCCCAGAGGTAACTGCTGCAGACTCAGCACACGGATGGGTGCCAGAATCAGCGAGCTAAGTGTGAGGAGTAACAGGACGTGTATCGTCTCAAAGTAGCTCCACAAGATGCGTTTAACTCCAGAGGGAACGACAGAAGAGGGGACATAAGATAGAAGAAGAGAAACCAGCAGAAACCACCTTTACCAAGGGATCAAGGCCAAAGTATGTTACAATGATACAAGGAACCCCGTGATTTAACGTATGGAAAGGGGCACATCACTTCTGTAGTTTGTATAACCTCAATGCAATCATGTAAAACACCAAATTGGAGGGAGAGTTGGCAAAAGAATAGTCAATACTCTTCAGAGTTGTGAAGGTTGTGAGAAGCCAGGAAACTAACTGTTCAAGACTTCAGGAGACTAAGGAGAAGCAATGACTTAATGCCACGAGGGGCCTGAACGGGACCCTGGAACAAGAAAAAGATACCGGTGGAAAATCCGAGAAATTCACATCCAGTCTTCAGTTTAAAGACCACAGCCAATGTTGATGTCTTACGCTGTTTACAATGTTAATGTCACTGTACCGTGAATTACAGTAACAGTGTGCCCACGTGAGTGGCTTGCACTGCTACAATATTAGTATCATTGTACCGTGAATTATAGTAACGTTGTGTCAATGTTAATGATGACAATGTTACAATGTTACAATGTTAATACCATTTTACTGTAAATTATAGTAACACTGGGCCCATGTTAATTTCTTGCTTCTGATCATTGTGCTATGGTTATGTGAGGCTGGGTAAGGAATATAGGGAAACTGGATGATTTTTGCAACTTTTCTGTAAATCTAAGAGCAATAAAAAAAAAAATCAAGTCTTTTAAAAGAGACTTTACAAGAAAGCAGCCCACCTTTATTGACGCTATTTCCTAAATCCCTCCCATAGATCTTATCTCATCCAGAGTGGGTTCTGTTTTCCAGATTGAACCCAAACTTATCCTCTTCTGCAAATGAAGCACAGAGAGGTCAGGATTTGCCCGAGGTCACACAGCCCCAGAGCTTTCGGCCTGAGCAGTGAACAGTTCTTCCAAGCGGCTGGAGAAGTCCCCACCCAACTCAGCAGCCCACGAGGGGCCGAGGGGAGTCAAGTTGGCTTTGGCTGCCTTTTAGTTAACACTACACCCACTCTTCCTTCCCCCGAATTCCGGTCCCACTGGGAGAATGGGCGAGGGCAAAGAACAACCTGAACTGGCGCCCATTCCTGGGTTTCATGAGGACAATTTGCAAAGTCATCAGTGAGCCTCCTTTAATGTTGATTCTTTAGAAGTGGAAAACAAAGCACATTAAACAGCTTGTTTTGCCCAGGCTTGGCTGGCTCCCAAGCAGAGAAGGCCTGTGTCCAGATGGGGTGAGGTACATGGCCACTGTCTCTCCCCACCAGTGACAAGTTTCTAACAGGCCCTGCCATTCATCCCCCCCGCCCCCCGCTGCCACCCCCCAACTGCTCTGAGCCAGCCTTGCCCGGGCACTGGGTGGGCTGTGCCTGGACAGACAGGGCTCTGGCCTCGCTCACAATTCCATGAGACACAAGTGACCACAAGGTGCCAATGCAATTCGGGAACAACCACAGGCTGCCGGGGTGGGGGTGGGGCAGCATCCTGGCAGAATGGGAGGATCTGGGATCTTTCTGAAAGGTTTACAGAAGTTAAACAAGAAGAAAAGTTAAATAAGTGCTTAAGACAAAAGGAATGACCCGTGGGAAAAGTCCCACAGGAAAGAGATTTGAATGTCTGAGCAACAGGAGACCAGTTGGGGGGAGTCCCAGTGGGGGACGCAGGGAGGGGCCCATACAGGTCCCTAATCCAAGGTCACCTTCACATTCTGGCCACTGTGGCTGGTCAGGAGCTTGGATTTTTCTGAGCACCGCTCAAAGCTCATTATGTGACAGGAAAACTCCGAAGTCTCGTCACTTGGTTTACTTTTTAAATTGCTGAAGCTCGTCTACAAGTTGGAGCTATTAATAACATGCTCTAGGTTCACACAGCATCTTTCCTGTTTTTTCCCAAAGCCACACATTGTCCCACAGTCTTGGTCATTTGCATCTAGAACGTCCCTCTGAAAAAATTCCTGGGGCAAAAGACTAAAGAGATAAACAGCTGCAGGGTGACTCACTGCCAGACAAGTCCCGAAGGCAGCCCCCACTCTGGGGTCAGTCCTCACAACGTGTGGGCACCCACCCGGGCAGGGGAGCGCTGTCCAGCTCGCCCACCGGGCTCTCCGGGCCACAAGCGCCCGGCTTCCAGAGCCAGTGAGCCGCTGTGGGCACGGCAACCCAGAGCCTCCCGGGTGGGTGTTGGG